GTTGGAAGAAGTGTGGTCCTTTTGGAGGAGGCTGGATGACATATGCCTTTAATCCAGACCTTGAGGCAGGAGGGCATACCTCTAATCTGGCCCACACCTTCTGGAGGAAGTGTGTCTGCTTTAGAACAATCTTTGTACACTGTAAATATGTATTACTCTCATTGGTTAATAAAGAACTGACTGGCCCATAGCTGGGCAGGAGAGTCAGACTAGGGGAATTCTTGGAAGAAGAAGGGTAGAATCAGAGAGCTGCCAGCCAGACACAGAGGAAGCAGGATGTGTACGAAATGAGGTAGCAAGCCATGAGCCATGTGGTAGAACTTAGTTAAGACATATGGGTTAATTTAAGTTGTAAGAGCTAATTAGTAATAAGCCTGAGCTATCAGCCGAGCATTTATAATTTATATTAAGTGTCTGTATTGGCTATTTGGGAACTGGTGAGTGGGAAAGAAAAGTCCATCCACATGTGTCACTTTGAGGTTTCATATATTCAGGATACTGCCCAGTGACTCAATCGACTTCCTGTTGCCTGCAAGATGTAGGACACTTGGTTATTTCTCCAGCACCATGCCTGCCTGCATGCCACCATGCTCTCCACCATGAGGGACTAAACCTCTGAACTGGAATTGAGCCACCACAATTAAATGTTTCTTTTATAAGAGTTGCCATGGTCATGGTATCTCTTCACAGCAATGAAAACCCTAACTAAGACCATACAGAAGACGAAAAGTTGAGTTGCTGAAGATGAGAGGTTGGGAGTCCTGGTCACCAGAAGAGTTCCAGGCAGCTGGCAAACCTTAAGACTGAGGAGACCCATATCAAAGGCTTAGGAACCGTAACACTGGCTGCTGGGGACTGACTGTTGCTGCTGCTGCAAACCAAGGGCTTCATTAGATACTGAGTACATGGCCTTTGACAATCAAAACGCAGAGCATTAAGCCTCCAACATGAGCAACCAGGGCTCTCAGTCTCAGACATATAGTGCCTGGCTCTAGAAATAAGTCTCTAGTTCTCAGAACTCGGCGGTTTATGTCTCTGAGTCTGGCAGGCTAGCCCACCAGCCTTTGATATTCAATGGCCTGGGACTACCAACATTGGAAATACCATTCCTTGCTTTTGCCTGAGCAAAGGACCCCAGCCAGCTTCTGATAACAGAACAACATGGAAACTGTGTACATTTTATTAAAGTTGAAAATAAGCGATTCAACGAACATACATGAAATTATCCTAATTTTGAAGTTCTTCCCTCTGTATAGGTGCTTTCCTGGTTTCAGTTTTCTTATCTATAAATGAAAATATCTACCTTCGAAACAGTTGTATGGTTTGGGTTAGCAGTTTCACATTCGTTAGTGTAGATATGAGTCATCTGGAATGCTGCCAAAGGGGGATTTCGCTACAGTTTGTCTGAGATGGACCCAAGAGCCTGCTTACTCAGGTGCTCCTAGATATTGGTGGTGCTGATGTTAGATCATGCTTTGACTAGCAAGGGACTGAGGACAACATTTGAAAGATCTCAGCACAAATGCCCCATTGTTTCTAGTGGACCTACTGTGTAGACAAACCTTTCTCAGAAAACTGCTGATAGAGGTCCACTCACATGGACTTTAACCCATGCCTGTCTCTCCACTTTATCTTAACTTCTTTCTGTTCAAGCACTTCGTTTTGTTTTGTTTTGTTTTTTAAATCTAGCAATAGGTATCTGTGCTTCCGTTGTTTGTCTTTCTTTCTTTTTTTTTTTCCGAGACAGGGTTTCTCCGTGTAGCTTTGCACTTTTCCTGGAACTCACTTGGTAGCCCAGGCTGGCCTCGAACTCACAGAGATCCACCTGGCTCTGCCTCCCGAGTGCTGGGATTAAAGGCGTGTGCCACCACCGCCTGGCTTGTCTTTCTTTTTAAGAGTTATTTACTTACTTATTTAGTGTGTGTACATGTGTACCTCTGCCTTCAAAGGCCAGAGTAGCGTGGCAGATCTTTTGGACCTGAAGTTAACAGTGTTTGTGAGCTGCCCAGTGTGGGTGCTGGGATGCAAATCCCATGCTCTGAAAGAGCAATAAGTGCTCTCAACCACTGGGCCATCTCTCCAGCCTCGAGGTTTACCTTTTTTAACCATAATAATTAATATACTATAAGTATATTAAAGTATATGATGAATAATAATATATAAACACATCTATAAAACCACCATCAAACTCTAAATAATTAACAGCTTTCACCACCAACACTTCCTCCTGCTTCTGATGTTCCTTCTGTCCCCTGGAACACCCACCTGTTTTCTGTCACTACAGACTAGTGTATCATTTGTAAGTTCTATATAAGCAAACTCATACAGAGTACATTATTCCATCTGGCTTCTTCCAGAATTATTAATTTGATTCATGCTCTTGCATCAATTTTTCTTGTTTGTTCTTAATAGTATTCCATTGACAGATCTACACCACTGTGTATCTATCCATTCACCTGTTGGTGGCTGTCTGGATTATTTCTGGTTTACAGCTTTTACAAAGCTCCGGTGAACATTCATGTACAAGTCATTGTATAACATATGCTTTTGTTTTCTTCCTGGAAAACACCTGAGTGCAGAGACTAGGTCTTATGGTCCATTGTGTTTAATTAAAAAGAAACAACAACCTTTTCCAGACTGACGTACGTTGCTCTGTTTGTAAGGACATTTTGTCTGTATGCTTGTATGTGCACCATGTGCATGCCTGTTGGATCCTCTGAAACTGGGATTAAGAGTTGAGAACTACCATACGGGTGCTAGAAATTGAACCCCAGTCCTCTGCAAGAGTGACTATTGCTGTTAACCACTGACCCATCTCTCTAGCTTCCAAACTTTGTTGTTTTCAATAAAATTATTATGTTGTTTTCCAAAGTACTTATACCATTTACACTGCTACCAGGAATACATAAAAATTCTAGTTCTTTTGAAATAATTCTTGCCAATATTTACCATTTTGAAGTATTGACTGCAAAAACCTTTTTAGGCAATCACATAGAAGAAAAAAAGAAAGAAAGAAAGAAAGAAAAGCCACCAGTTCACCAGTTAATTAGTCTCCTGGGAGATAATACTATTAAATTGTCATGTTTATAGATTTCAAAGTTGGTCCCCTTGGACACACAGGGCTCTTTTCTTTTCTTTTTTCTTTTATTTATTTGTTGACTGAGGGGTGTGTGTGTGTGTGTGTGTGTGTGTGTGTGTGTGTGTGTGTAGAGGTCAGAGGACAACTTGCAGAGCTGGTTCTCTCCATTCACCATGTGGGTCCCAGGGATTGAAGTTGGGTTGTCAGGTTTGATGGCAACCTCACCAGCACTCTTAATATTTAAACAATTGTTTTCTTTTCCTTTCATTATTATCCAGATATGTCATAAATGGCAGTTCGAGAAAACACAGAAGTCCCCACATGCAAAAAACTGAAAATACTTCTCCATCTTCTGGCTCTTCCTTGAGATGAGACCTTCTTGTCTAGACTGGTCTCGAACTTGTGGCCTGAGCAATCCTTCTCTCAGCTTCCCCAGTACCCGGTCTGGAGTGTGTACCCGATCTCAGCTTCCCCACTGTGGCTTCTTTCTTTCTGATTTTAAATTGGGTTTATACGTGAATAGAAAAGACCCTACCTTTAATGATATAGTAAACTAGGAACAAAACAAAACAAAAGCCCTGTAGTTTTCTATTTTCCTAAAGCATTTTTCTAGTACAATTCAACACTAACTGTGTTTAGTATAATTTAACATTAATATTTCAGGTCTTAAATGTGTTAAAGAGTTTTTTTTTAACTAAACGGAAGAAAGTATCTTAATTCATGCCTTTATGCTTAACAATTATTCTTATATTTCAGAGTTACAGAAAGGGATGAGAAAATAACATTAATAATTATGATCCTTAAACATTACTGGATAAAAATACTATGTAGGCACTGTAGGAGTGGATATCTGTTTATTATCTCATTAAGGTCCGTGGAGAATATTCTGTTTTCTCTAGTTTAGACACGGGCTCCAAACTAGAGATTGTTAATAGCTTTAAAAACATGTCAAAGAAACCCAGAAATTATGTTGTTGTGCTCCTTGGGGAAGCCCAGCCCAAAGTCGCTACGGTGATTTCCAAGATCTCCCTCCATGTCACTATGCTCCACTTCCGCTTCCTACTGTTCACTAACGCTGCCATGAACTTGGCTACTTGTGGGGGTAGTGTCTCCAGAACCCCGGCGGTCACTGCTTTTCTCTGTCACGAGCTTCTGGCCAGGAGTTTAACTTCCTTGATGGACCCTCAGCTGATGTTATACACATTCTGAATAAAACTGCCTTTGTCTTCCAAGCGGATAAAGCAGGAACCCCAGGGTTATGCCTCTCTCCCCTATCCAGAAAAATAATTTATTCGTGGATTCACATCACTTGTTCAGTTAGTTTACCAATGGCACTGTTCTAGTGCGGTACTATTAAGAGAATGGTCTGGAAACTCAGAGCTGTAAGCCGTTGTCTTTTCCCCACACCCACAAACGGAACAGAAATTTACCTAAATTTAGCAAGCGTGCCCGAGGAAGTTCTCCACCCAAAGCTCTCAAAAGAGAAACCTTCGAGAAGGGAGAAGGGAGCAAGATTCGCCGAGCTACCCTTAGGGCAGGAGGGTCCTTGCACAGGGAATCCTGAAACCGCCTTCTTATTCCTGGGTTGGGGTTATAATCCAAGGTCTGAGTTCTGCCAGTTAATGCTCTTAATTGTTCTGGCTTTACTTTTCAAGAATGAAAACTTCAGGTCCTAAGCCCTTCTCTGACTGGCATTAGAACGAATGGAGGTCCTTCCTAGGATGAAGGACCAGGTACACCAAGCTCAGAAGCGCCCCTGATCGCAGGGTACGGAGGGTCCCGCCCAGGCTGTTCCAAGCACCACGGGACTTTATAAGAACATGAAACTGAAAATAGGAAAGTCCCTTTTTAACCTAGTTCAGCGTCACCATCTAGGAGACTGGTGACGGCCTCCCGATCTGGATCCCGATTGGCTGCCAGAGTGGGGACTATAAGAGTGCGCCCAGCCCCGGCCGTACTCATTTCGCTCCGACCGGCGCGCAACGATGGCTCGCTCTGTGGCCGTGGTCTTTCTGATGCTTGCCTCACTGGCCTGCTTGGATGCCATCCAGCGTGAGTGTCTCTTCCTCCTCTCCCGGCGTTAATTCTGATTTCTCCTTAGTTCTCCTTCCCGACGGGATTGGCCAGGGCTGGGTCTCCCGGGGAAGAGGTGAGAGTCCCGCCGCCCCCTCTTGCTGCTTCCAGGCAGCAGTGTAGACGCGGTTTGCGACTGTGTAGACGGACTGTCAGCGCTGGAGGTGGGGAAAGCTTCTCTCCTGCTCTTTGCTTGCCGGAGTCCCGCTGGACTCTCCCAGCGCGGGAGAGTGGGTCTGCTCCGAAGGTGCGGAGAAGAGGGCCTTGAACTAGACCCGGGGAACCCAGGAAGTCAGACCGCCGCCGCCCAGCTGCCTTTGCACTTTCTGAGCGCCTGGGGTCCAATGGAGCCAAAGTCTAGAGAAATGGGCGTGGGTCCTAGGCTCTGCTGTTTCCAAAGTTTTTCCGACCGTTAATTTACCTTGTCTCATTAATGCTTTTAGTAATCATCATAAAGGCGGCGGGGTATGACAGTTTACTGTAATGCTGAGGACGCTGCGTGGTTTATAACTTGGAAACTGAGCCTATGATGTAAACATTATGGTTCCTTTTGTCTCTCAGATGGGGAACCCGAGGCATTGGGATTTTAAGTAACTTATTCACACAAGGATTAATGGCAGTCGGGATTGGAATTGAGGCCGATTTTGCCATTTGGGGTAAAAGTAGGCCTTTTGGATGTAACCCCATTTGTTTCTAGAAGTGCCCCTGGCCTTCCGGGATCATAGTCTGTAAAGCAGGCTGGGCTGTCTTGGGCCCTTGGTACTTCTCACAGGCTTTCCTTTTTGGCACGCCGCCTGGTTCTGTTTTACAAGATAGAGCATCTACTTTCGGTTTCGGAAACTGCAAGTTTGTCGAAGTCAGGGAAGTTGTGAATTCTGGGGCAAAGATAATTCAGTATAGTTACCAAGACTCTTAAGGATAAATAATTCAAGAAGTCATAGAGGTAGAAAAGTGGCGGAGCCCAGATTCAAACCTGGCCCAACACTTGTCTAAATTGTGTAAGAAGGGATCATTCTTTCCCAGAGGATTCCAGGCAGGATGAACCTGGCCTCTGAACTCTGTGGCATTTAATGTTCTTGTTACTAAAACCTCAAATGCAAGGAGCTTTCTGGCGTATCTTCACTTTAACTTTACAGGAGAAAAAACCCAAGGCTTCATTGAAACCTTAACTGTAGTTCTTGACCGAGCTAGTAACCTTTCCTCCAGTGCTTCTAGATACATAGAGTTGGCCAGAGCTGGCCGCAGTTCCCAGATGCCTTTCCTTCTCCCTACCGTCTTCTACATGAGAATAAGTAGCTGCCCTTTAGAGACCATGTACCCTGAATATATGTGTATTTGGAAGTATATTATAAGCCAGGTGTGGCGACTCATGCCTGTAATCTCAGCCCTGGAGAGGCTGAGACAAGAGTTTGAGGCCAGTCTGCAGACATAGCAAAACTTTATCTCAGATAGATGGATGGATGGATGGATGGATGGATGGATGGATGGATGGATGGATGGGGAAAACACAAGAGAGCCAATGAATTGGCTCAGCAGAGACACTAAGCCTGAGTTTGAGCTCAGATGCCACTTGGTGGGTGGAGAGAACTGACTCTTAAATCCACACAAGAGCTATGGTGCTCATATACGCATGCACACACGCATGCAGGCCTCTATATTGTGAGGTAATTATTCCCAACATGTTTAGTTAGGGCAGCCATTTGAAAGCGCTGACTAGAAATACTATCCTACTCCTGCATACATTGCTCCACTTAGTTCTAGCGGAGTATATTCTTTCTCATTCGTCACAGCCCTCACTTCTCCCTACTGGGTTTATCTGTCCTAACCCAACCACTTAAAAGTTTTGCTAGCTCCTGTCGCTATTTAGATGTTGTTTGTTTTCTAGTTCATGAAACCAGAGCTTTGCTTTGGCCTGTTAACTCTGGGCTGGAACAGAAAGATTGTACCTGGCAGGATTGGACCCTGGAATGACTTGCATAGGAACCGAAGGAGGGAGGAAATAATACTAACCCTGCCACCTGAGGGGCAAGGCTCAGCTTTCAGCTCTGTAGCAGACAATACATGTTAGGAAGTCTAGGGGGGAACATTAAGTAAAAAGGAAGGGGATAAAAATAAGAAAGAAAGTGATTGGGGCTGGCACAGCATACAAGGATGTGGGTACTATGATACGGATACTGCATAGGGTGTGCGGAATGAGACATGAGATTTGGAAAGTAGGTGGGCCATGACATTAATTAAGGGAAGGGATGGATATAGTTCTTGAGAGCCTCCAATGAAAGCTTCTTAAAAATCCAGCAGTCTCTAGTGACAGAAGACACTGCTTACAAGCCAGGTAGGGAAAACCAAAGGCCTGTGTACAGGATTTCGAGGAAAAGATACTAAGTCATGATGTGGTTCTCAAAATGTAGGTAGCCGTTTGGGGAAGCAGAAGATCACCTGTCCAGAGCAGAAATGGAAGTGGGAGAACTAGCTGACCAAGTGTGACATGGGGCATGGTGCAGACTGTGATGCAGTTAGCTCCAAGGAAAAAGCCCCAGCAGTTGTCATTTGTCTTTCTCTGTGACCCTTAGGTGCCCCACATGTGCAAGTATACACCCGCCACCCGCCAGAGGATGGCAAACCGAACTTCCTGAACTGCTACGTGTCGCAGTTTCACCCACCCCACATTAACATCGAGCTGCTGAAGAACGGAGAGAAGATAGAAAAAGTGGAGTACACAGATCTGTCCTTCAACAAGGACTGGTCCTTCTATCTCCTGGCTCATACTGAATTCACACCCACTGCGACTGATAAGTACGCCTGCAGAGTTTCACACACCACTCTGAAAGAGCCCAAGGTTGTCACCTGGGGTGAGTCTTCAAGTTCTTCCTTAGTTTCTGAAAGCTCTATCTGTGTCAAGTCACAGCCTAAAACTGCTTTGCTATTTCAAAAATCTGCACACTGAGATTGTTAGGGAATGCCCCCAAAGCACTGATCAGTGGAGCCTTCTGAGTAGTTCGCTGCTGTGAGAGCAGGGAACAGCAGCATCTATTGTCCCAGACTTCTTCCTGTGGCTTCCTCCAGTTTTCCTGGCAGCCTGATGCACACCAAGTGCCAAAGAGCATGTCGGGAAGGCACAGGTCTTGGCTTGCAATCCCTGCCCTCATGTATCTACAATTCTGGATGTTCCAGTACCTTGGCTAGGTACTGGAGATTGTAGACAGGGGTGGGTCTCTGGGTAGTTCTCAACAAGTTCTCAAGGCTAGCAACAACAACCTATTTATTCTACTGGTCTTATTGTAACACTTTGGGATGTCTGTTAGTACTTAGTAGAATAAAAGTAAAAATATTTTTCCCCATTTTCTTTTTTCATAGATCGAAACCTGTGATTAAGCATCATGGAGGTAAGTTTCTTGACCTTAAGAAATGGGCCTTTGGGGGTAAAGCACATGCCTAGCATGCATAAGGCCTTGAGTTCAGGGTAGCTTGTCAGTAGCCACAGAAGAATCCTTTGGGGTTACATTCCTTTATCCTGTGGATTGGCAGGAAGGAGGCACGTAACTACAGGTCTGGCTCTGCCACCATCACTAACCCTCTAAAGGGAGCACTGGGCCTGCTAGTATGTGGTCAAGAGAGACGGGCAGGGTTTGGTTGTTCTTCTGTTTTCTCCTTGGACAATGAACCACTTGCTTTCTTCGTGTGGCAGTGGCCTTGCTCTTCAGCCAGAAGAGTGGGGTGACAGAGTTTCATCACCCCTCAGTCTCTTGTTCTGTTTCATTTGGTAGGCACTAGGTTTACCTTCTAGAGGCTTCCAGACCACTCTAGGAAAGAAATGGATATAGAATATTAATATTGTAAGTCCATGTAAAGGCACCATCATAGCTGTCTGAGAAGGAAGTCTAGAAGCACAAGACAGGAGAGCTCAGGCTTCTGTGTTAGATGTGGTCTAGTGGTAGCAAATCCAGATTTTCAGTGAAATCCTACTGTCCAGGGACCTTGGGGCCCAAATCTCATTCGATCTTGTATGATTTTATTTCTAGGAAAGGGGGATGGATTTGAGAGAGAGTATTAGAGAGGATGGGTAATCTGAGCAGGCAGTCACCAGATGGTGGAGCCAGGACCCACTTCCTTTAAGAAGGTGGTTACACTCAGATGCCAGACCCACTGGTGGTGAGGTCTGTAATGCGAATGAAGTAAATGCTCTAACTTCCTCCTTCCCTCCTCCCTCCCTTCTCTTCCCTTTTTCTTTTTAGGTCTGAAGATGCTTCATTTGGACCAGTTTAACTCCAAGTATTTCTCAGTTTTTAATATGCTGTACAATTTATACACACAGTGAGGAATAGTAATGACACATCATCTTCTTTGTAACTTTGAATTCTGCATGTTTTCCAAAAAAAATTTGAAGACTAACACCCTAGATATCTGAAATAATAAAGCATCAATGAGTATTTTGATCAGAAACAAACCATTGATAATTTGAAAGAAAAAAAAAGTGCTAGTAAATGTAATTAAAAATAATAGTTGATCATATATCAAACCCTTTGTACATCTTATTAGTTGGATGGAGTTATTCATCTTTGGTCTATCACAACCTAAGTGATTTTTTTTTTTTAATTTAAGAAACCTGAGATATTTTCTTTTTGGTAAAGCACACAGGCCCATCTAAAGTCTGTGCCTAACAATCCTCTCCCCCAAACCCATGGGTTACTTCCTCTTTGTTATTTTTACTCAAAAATAAAGAAAAAAAGAAGGACGTTTGCTAGACATTGCCAGAGTGTTACACGAAGTGGTTTCTAGGTATCCTTAAATGTCTGCAAATGCGCATGTGGCTTTTATCACCTGAAGAGCCAGTGGTGTCTTCAGAGGTTCTCATAGAAGCAGGCTCCTGAACCAGGAGATGAACATGACTAAGAAAGGGCTCCAAAGCAAAACAGTAGGAGTGTGGTTGGTGACAGGGAATCGGAAGGAACTGAGAGGGGAGTAGGGATTTCAGAAGTGCCGGTCCCACAGGGAGCTCTAGAGCAAAAACCACATCTTAAAGTTTGTCTTGGCAATGTGGACAAGCCTGTTGCTGGTTCTACAGGACTGTGTGGTAGGATGAAAGCCCAGATATGGTGGTGTGCCAGTACCGGCATGCAAAGGCTGAGGACTGACAGGCTCGTACTGAAGGATGTAGGTGGGGCCACAGTGGCTACTGTGTTTCCTGTTCAATTCTGGTGTGCCTACAGCACACCCAGTCTGAAAGCCCCACCACCAGTTCAAAGTTTCTAAGGGCTAGTGTTAAAGTGGAAATGCTGATAGAACTAAGTTTGAATCCTAATACAAAGTTACTATAAAATTCTGACTTGAGCTTTTAATTTTGATACAATTTAGTTGTATCCCCAAAGGTCCTTTTGTGGTTGGACTTCTAAGAGGTGGGGTCTAGTGGGAGGTCCTGTGGTACTCAGGTCTTTTTGAGTTCTGAAAGGGTTATTATAAAGGCAGCAAACCTAGCCCCTTCTGTTCCTTCTGCTGGTCTAACGCATAATCACGTGCTTACTCCTGATGCATTTTTCCCTTGCTGTTGGCATGAAGGAGGAAACTTTGGCATAGAGTCTGTGCTAATCATTTAAATTTTGAAATTTCAAAACTGTAAGTTAAATAAATCTTATTAAGTAGCTTGTGTCAAGTATTTTGTTATAACAATTAATTACTGGTTTAGAGTCACCATAACCCCAAAGTGGGATAATTAGTCCTGTATCACAAAGCTTATTCATTTATTCACTCAATTGTTATTTTAAATTTAGAATTATTCATTTATTTTTATGTGTATGATACATGTACATAAGTATACCACATGTATGCTTGGTGCCTATGAAGTTCAGAAGAGGCTGTTAGATCCCCTGGAACTAGTTATGAATGAATGTGAGCCACCATGTGGGTGCTGGGAACTAAACCCTGGGTCTCTGGAAGAGCAGCTAGCACTCTTAACTGCTAAGCCTTTTAATTTTTTTGTATGTATACGTTTGTGCATACATGCATGCATGCATATGTGTGTGTATTTGGAGGCCAGAAATGCTTCTTGTTGAATATCTTCAATTGCTATTACTCTCCACCTGATATTTTGAGACAGAGTCTCTTTGAACCTCAAATTTGGAGATTTAGCTGGCCAGCAAGCCTTAGGGATTGTGGTGGGTTGAAAGAAAATGCCCCCATAGGCTCATAGGGACTGGCACTATTAGTAGGTGTGGCACTGCTGGAGAAAGTGTGTCTTTGTCTCTTCCTGCTGGCCGCAGATCCAGATGTAGAACTCCCAGTTACCTCTCCAACACCATGTCTCCCTGCATGCAGCCATGTTCCTGCCATGATGATAATGGACTAAACCTCTGATTGTAGGCCAGCCCTAATGAAATGTTTTCCTTTATAAGAGTTTCCGTGGTCATGGTGTCTCTTCACAGCAATAGAAACCCTAACTAAGACAGGGATCCTCTAGTTTCCACCTCCCCAGCGCGGGGATTACAGGCACATATCACCGCTCCCAACTTTTACATGAGTACTGAGGATTGAACCCAGGTCCCAAGGTCTAAAAACTGAGGCATCTTCCACGTCCCCAATAAATGATTTTTATGGGAGGTAAATGGGCCCAGAAGACAGCAATCTGGGACAAAGTTCCTTGGGGTTCTAGATGTAGAGTTTGAGTCTCAGTCTCCTGTTTAATCTTGCTTGGTTAGTGAAATTTCAGTAAGGTTCAAGATGGTTGTGTTACTACTGGGCTTCAGCAGGGTAAGGGAACTTCATGGGAAGCTCTTCCTTCACCGAGACATCCCAAGGTCTGAGCCCAGCCGAAGCTGTTCAAGAACAAGACTGCAGTGGCAGCCTGGGAACTCAGCCGAAGGGAAGGAGTTTGGGCTAGCACCCCCAAAGGCTGCTTTGTCCAGCAGCCAGGAGCTCAAGAAGAAGCTGGGGGACGGACTTGGGAGAAAGAACCCCACCCTCCACCCTGCCAAGACACCTTAAAAGAAACTTTTTTAAAATTTATTGTGTGTGTGTGTGTGTTTGTGTGTGTGTGTGTGTGTGTGTGTGTGTGTGTGTGTGTGTGTGTGTGTACATGTGAAGGCTAGTCCTCTTGGAGGCCAGAGACGAGCTGGAATTACAGACTTAGATGCTGGAAACCAAACTTTGCTTGAAACTGCTTGAATCATTCCCCACAAGATACCTTAAAATAACCTCAGGGCAGGCTGCAGATGGAGACGTGGACCCTTCCCAACTGTTCTAGTGGAATTTTTTTGGCACCTCAGGGTGCAAGAAAGACTATCTTTCCAACTTCCTGTCCCCAAGTCCTGTGTCTACTGGTTAAACCTTGAGCAGTAAACCTGGCTTTCGTGTGTGTGTGTGTGTGTGTGTGTGTGTGTGTGTGTGTGTGTGTGTGTGTGTATGGCTTCTCTAGCACCACATTCTGCCATATTGCTTTGAGCCTCAACAATGGCTCTGATTCTATCAGTTCTGTGATGCTTTTCTGAAATGGTGACAATCTAGGTAAAATTCCTAAAACAAACAAACAAAAATCCCAAATTACACCTTTTGAGTTGCCTTGTACCTATTCAGCTGTTTTAGCCAGGCATAGCAAAAAAGCGGTCCACAAAATTTCAAGAAATGAAACAATTTAAAAACACAACCTTTTTTACATGTGATTGTAAACCCAAATTATAAAGACTTGAGTATCTCGTAGGCTGCAACCTCTGACCCTCAGTTTCTGGACACTACAAGTAACATCACCTTCGGAGCAAGCATAAAGTGTGACTGGACAGCTGGATTGCTGATCTAATCTCTGGGCGGATGGGGACGGAGAACAACTGCCCTTCCCCTTTCCTGTAAAGGGCTTTGGTGAAAGAGGAAACCAAGAGGGAGGAGGCAGGGAAGTCCTTTTTCTAACCAACGGGCGCTTTTTGCCTACAGCCTGGTGGGCGACGTGGCAACCTGCGCTAAGTGCGCAGTTCACAAAGAGTAAAAAAGTGTTTCAGGAGGCAGTGGCAGCAGGGATGAGGACGAGAAGCAAGAGTGGAATTCCAGAAGGAATTTGCCCTACTTTGTGACCTCTGCTCTGTAACCTGGGGTGTCCCTGTGACAGCTGTCTTCCTGTTTATCTACATCTACACAGCCTTGTGCGGTCTTCCTGCCCAGCCAGTGTCACAAACTCAGCGCATGCGCAAGTGCATGCTTCTAGTTCTCCCGCCCAATAGCTACCCAGGCAGGAATTCTTGAGACAGGAAGGACAAAAGACATAGATTCCACATCAGCTGCTGGATTCCTAGGTAGAGACCAGGTGATGGGCTCTGCTTTCTAGGGCTGCCCAGCCTCACTTAGAGGCCTCTCCTTCCCTGGTTGGAGAGGTAAAGTGTAGCTATGGTCTGTGATCATGAGACCAGAGTGGAGAGGAGAGAGCCGGCCAGAGTCATGAGTCTCAGTAGGATTGCCTGGATCAAAAGGTTGGTGATCATGACGGAGTGCTAGGCACTGCACCCATCCCTGGGCTCCACCAATTTCCTTCTTAGGCTTCCAATTGTCTACCAGGTTCCACTGTTTATACCCAAATCCCTACAGTAACACTGTATTGTGCAGTATTTCTGCCACTGTGTTTGAGACATATTGTTGGTTGTTTTGTACTCTTACTCCTTTGGCTCTTTGGGGGACCCACTATCCAGCTCCCAAATAAATCACACATGGAAGGTTATTCTTTCTTATAAATGCCAGGCCTTAGCTTGGCTAATTTCTAGCCAGCTTTTCTTAACTTTAAATTACCCTGGCTACCTTTTGCCTCTGGTTTTTTTTAATTAAATTTTTTTTTCATTTTATATACCAATTACAGTTCCCCCTCCTTCCCCTTCTCCCACTTCTCCTACCTTCTCACTATCACATCCCCCACCCACTCCTCCTCATAGGGGGTAAGCCCTCCCTTGGGGAGTCAACACAGGCTGGCATACCAAGTTGGGGTAGGACTAAGCCCCTCCCTCCTACATCAAGGCTGAACAAGATATCCCACCATAGGGAACGGGCTCTAAAAAGCCAGCTCATGTACCAGGGATAAGACCCTGGTCCCACTGCCAGTGGCCCTACAAACAGATCAAGCCACACATCTGTCACCCACATTCAGAGGGCCTAGTTTGGTCCCATGCAGGTTCCCCAGCTGTCAGCCCAGAATCCGTGAGATCCCACTAGCTCAGGTTAGCTGTCTCTGTGGATTTCCCCATCATGACCTTGACCCACCTTGCTCCTATAATCCCTCCTCCCTCTCTTCAACTGAACTCCAGGAGTTCGGCCCAGTGCTTGGCTGTGAGTCTCTGCATCTGCTTCCATCAGTTATTGGATGTAGGTTCTATGATGACAAATAGGGTAGTTACCAATCTGATCACAGGAGTGGGCCAGTTCAGGGACCCTCTCCAATACTGCTAGGAGTCTTAGCTGGGGTCATCCTTGTGAGTTCCTGGGGATTTTCCTAGCACCAGGTTCCTCCCTAACTCCATAATGGCTCCCTCTGTCAAGATATCTCCTTCACGGCTCTCTCTCTGTTCCTCACCCAACTCAGCCATCTCCAATCACTCGTGTTCCCATCCCCCATCCCCTCCCCTCCACCGTCTACCCCACTCCTAGTTTACCCAGGAGATCTTAACTATTTCCCCTTCCTGGGGCAATTCATGTGTCCCTCTTAGGGTCCTCCTTGTTACCTAGTTTCTCTGGAGCTGTGGGCTGTGGTCTGGTTATCCTTTGCTTTGCATCTAATATCCACTTATGAGTACATACTGTGTTTGTCTTTCTAGGTCTGGATTACTTCACTCAGGATATTTTTTCTAGTTCCATCCATTTGCCTACAAATTTCATGATGTCATTGTTTTCTACCACTGAGTAATACTCCATTGTGTATGTACCACATTTTCTTTATCCATTCTTTGGCTGAGGGGCATCTAGGTTGTTTCCAGGTTCTGGCTATTACAAATAATGCTGCTATGAACATAGTTGAGCAAGTGTCCTTGTGGTATGGTTGAGCATCTTTTGAGTATATGCCCAAGAGTGGTATTGCTGGGTCCTGAGGTTAAGTTGCCTCTCAATTTTCTGAGAAACCGCCATACCGATTTCCAGAGTGGCTGGACAAGATTGCACTCCCACCAGCAGTGGAGAAGTATTCCCCTTATTCCACTTCCTCCCCAACATAAGCAGTCATCAGTGTTTTTGATCTTAGCCATTCTGACAGGTGTAAGATAGTGCCTCAGAGTCATTTTAATTTGCATTTCCCTGATGGCTAAGGATGTTAAGCAATTCTTAAATGTCTTTCAGCCATTTGAGATTCTTTTGTTGAGAATTCTGTTTAAATCTGTACCTCATTTTTAAATTGGATTATTTGGTATTTTGATGTCTAGTTTCTTGAGTTCTTTATATATTTTGGAGATCAGCCCTCTGTCAGATGTGGGGTTGGTAAAGATCTTTTCCCATTCTGTAGGCTGCCATTTTGTCTTATTTATTGTGTCCTTTGCCTTACAGAAGCTTCTCAGTTTCAGGAGGTCCCATTTATTATTGCTCTCAGTGTCTGTGCTACTGGTGTTATATTTAGGAAGTGGTTGCTGTGGATATCGCTCTATATAAATAAAACACCGATTGGCCAGTGACCAGGCAGGAAGTATAGGCG